AGGACAATAACTTGCCGTTCTCAGGACAAAGGCCTGTTATCATAAGGACAATGACTTGCCGTTCTCAGGACAAAGGCCTGCTATCATTAGGACAATAACTTGCCGTTCTCAGGACAAAGGCCTGCTATCATTAGGACAATGACTTGCCGTTCTCAGGACAAAGGCTGCTATCATTAGGACAATGACTTGCCGTTCTCAGGACAAAGGCCTGCTATCATTAGGACAATAACTTGCCGTTCTCAGGACAAAGGCCTGTTATCATAAGGACAATGACTTGCCGTTCTCAGGACAAAGGCCTGCTATCATTAGGACAATAACTTGCCGTTCTCAGGACAAAGGCCTGCTATCATTAGGACAATGACTTGCCGTTCTCAGGACAAAGGCTGCTATCATTAGGACAATGACTTGCCGTTCTCAGGACAAAGGCTGCTATCATTAGGACAATAACTTGCCGTTCTCAGGACAAAGGCCTGCTATCATTAGGACAATAACTTGCCGTTCTCAGGACAAAGGCTGCTATCATTAGGACAATGACTTGCCGTTCTCAGGACAAAGGCTGCTATCATTAGGACAATAACTTGCCGTTCTCAGGACAAAGGCTGCTATCATTAGGACAATAACTTGCCGTTCTCAGGACAAAGGCTGCTATCATTAGGACAACAACTTGCCGTTCTCAGGACAAAGGCCTGCTATTATTAGGACAATAACTTGCCGTTCTCAGGATAAAGGCTGCTATAAGTCGGACAAAGAACTGGCATCCTATATAATGACCTGTCGTCACAGGTAACCTGCTTCCTATAGGCGTGTAGGAGGTGGCTTTTAGAGGTCAGGTTAGTTACAGGTTAATTGGTTCCAGTGTAAATAGTCGCAGGTAAAAGTTGCTTTAATTAAAAATTTATAGAATGTAAAATAATTCCATATTAGATTGTAATCAACAAAATAGTCACATGTTGGATGATTACTAGTTGACCAATAACTAATGGAATATTTATACGTTAAATTCATCAAAGCTGAAGCTTTTAAATGTTAGATAGTATCCAGCTGAATTTTTATAGACTGGATAGTGAACGGATAAGATCCGTACTAACAGCTTCAGAATAAATATTTGCAGGTTAACTTGCAACAGATTATGATTTTTTTACCGTCCTGCAGGTGGGAGGAGCGGGGGAGAGGCAGAAAGGAGGTGGGGGGCACGGTGCTGGGGGTGAACCTGGGCCCCCGCGTGCTGGGCAGCTGGCCCGACAAGGGCCCCACCTTGGTCTGTGGGTCACACCTGCCCACCCACAACCCCACCTGCTGCATCACCCGCACCACAGTCAAGGTACCTGCAGCATCACCCGCACTACAGTCAAGGTACCTGCTGCATCACCCGCACCACAGTCAAGGTACCTGCTGCATCACCAGCACTACAGTCAAGGTACCTGCTGCATCTCCCGCACCGCAGTCAAGGTACCTGCAGCATCACCAGCACCACAGTTAAGGTACCTGCAGCATCACCAGCACCACAGTCACGGTTCCTGCTGCATCACCCGCACCACAGTCAAGGTACCTGCAGCATTACCCCACCACAGTTAAGGTACCTGCAGCATCACCCGCACCACAGTCAAGGTATAGTTCAGGAAGTGATGTATTTCTTGTGATAATGGATGAGCTTTGGCGGTGATAGTTGCATCTAACGTTTTTATGTTGTTAGGGGTACGGGGAGTTGACGATGTTTGTCGTGCGATGTCGGCGAGAAGTGTAGAGGTTGATGTCGGGAGGCTTAAGAAGGCTTATTCCTTGTAGTACTAGAAGCTCATGTATATCTTTCATAGTATCAGTTACCACATTGTGCTGCATGTACGAGAAAACTGTAATGCCCCGCTGACTGATTCTGGGATGTTCTCAGGATGCATAGTAAAACATAGGTCCAGTCAAGATAGCAGTTAAGTTAAGGTTATCTGCAAGGTCACCGACGACCTAGACAAGGTAGAAATTCATGTTTTCCTAGAGTTAGAATCTTAGGTTGGGACAGAAAGCAGGGACAACCATAACGTCTCTCTCGAGTGTATATAAGAGACAGTCTTCAAAGGTGTCTTGTTTCAGGGTCCGACCTACGCACTAGAAGGCGGCGACTCGGTCCTGGGTCTGAACGAAGCCTTGATGCTGGCCAAGGTGCATCCGTTCTCACCGCTGGGCACCTGCGCCAGACTTCGTCCCTTCTGATTCCGCGACTCCTTATTGGGCCTCGGCCTTGCCGTTCTTCGACCCTGCTGGGCCCCAATCTTACTGGGCTGCGACTCTACTGAACTCCAACCCTGCTATGCTGCGACCCTAGTGGGCTGCGATCCTGCTGGGCTGCGACTCTGCTGGGCTACGATCCTGCTGGGCTTCGATCCAGCTGGGCTGCGATCTTGCTGGGTTTCGATCATGCTCGGCATCGATCTTGCCGGACTCTAACCCTGCCGGGCCCCACTTCCCCCACAGCCCACACGCTCAACTGTGGATGATTGTGCACTGAAACAACGTCAACTGTCGCACCCACAACCAATTCAGCGAGACCAAATATTCCACGCGGAGTTAACGCTTTGCTTTTTAACTGATAAGATAGAAAGCGAGAAGCGAGAAACAATTATTGAACCATACAGCTCAAGAAATGGCCAGTTGAATGTTCGGATATACTTATTTAACCGCTATAGAATGACGTATCTTGAGGAACGAGTTACGTGTATGCAATTTGTTGTCACCATAAGCGCTCATGTGCATTGTTGATTTCGGCTAGTGGCTGATACTGTATTATTTCTATATTATATTTATATAATTTATTATCATACTATATATAAGTAATTCATTTTGTCTTTTGGTCACCATTTTTTTGTCAATTTTTGTCAGTGCACCAGCTGAGCCAAAATGCCCCCAGCTTTCTATGCTCATCGTCTGCACATAAATTGCACGAACTGCGATCAGGCTGTCGCCAGGATGTTTATAAGCGATAGTTTATAATGAGCAAGAATAAAGGCTACCCAGACTTCGAGGATTTGAATGTATTGACCTGAATCGTATAATTAATTTACCTTGAATAAAATAACAGGGAGCGTTTCCAACAGCAGTCATGCGTACCACTGCAAGTTTACTTGTTTCAATTAGCAGTCCTGCGACCAGGTTACCACTACAAGTTTACGCGTTTCCAGCAGCAATCCTGCAACCAGGTTACCACTGCAAATTCACGCGTTTCCAGCAGCAATCCTGCGACCAGGCTACCACTGCAAATTCACAAGTTTCCAGCAGCAATCCTGCAACCAGGTTACCACTGCAAGTTTACGCGTTTCCAGCAGCAATCCTGCAACCAGGTTACCACTGCAAATTCACAAGTTTCCAGCAGCAATCCTGCAACCAGGTTACCACTGCAAGTTTACGCGTTTCCAGCAGCAATCCTGCGACCAGGTTACAACTGCAAGCTTACGCTTTTCCAGCAGCACTCCTGCGACCAGGTTACCACTGCTAGGTTACGCGTTTCCAGCAGCACTCCTACGACCAGGTTACCACTGCTAGGTTACGCGTTTCCAGCAGCAATCCTGCGACCAGGTTACCACTGCAAGTTTACGTGTTTTCAGCAGCAATCCTGCGACCAGATTACCAGTGCAAGTTTACTTGTTTACATTTACAGCAATCCTTCGACCAGTTTTTCGGGGTGTTCGAGAAACATAGATGCAAATAGTGTTGGGACGGCCACTGCCTGTTGTTATGACAAACAGCTAATGAGATCGACGTTCTTTCTAAAATCCAATTGAGTGTAATGATTCGATGTTCAGCTTAGTTAAGTGACGCAAATACGTAAGTACATTGAAGGGCAAATGTGTCTAGCAATAAACTCTTTGCGAAATTCCCCAAAGCGGGTTATTCAAGAACGACGCTAATTAAGCATGACTATGTGAAGCGCTAATATAAAGCAGAGCCGCAGCTGATGGCCGCTATATATGGTCGTTGTTCATTCTTTTCGTATGTAACTTAGATGCAGTTTGCGTCGTCCTTTGAACTTTCTAGCTGTTTACCGGGTAAATTTTGAAAGTATTAAATTTTTTGTGCACGCCTTTTGTGTAGAGATATCAAGTTGTGGGTTGCCTGTTTGTTAACCTCATATATTTACTGTGGCCCGCCCGCCTTATCAAGTTGCCACTTAGTACCTAACTCCTGATCGTTGACGTATTCCATCTACTGGAGACCTTGTGTTGAATAATCCTTGCAAATGCCTTTCTTTCTGAACTTATGAAGCGTTATATTATGAACTTTAATTCGGGGAGGGGCAACGGCAGAATTTGGCATTAAACTTTCTTCTTGGCATCTGTACTAAGCCTAGTCTCTTGTCTGTGCGCCATGGTGTTGACCTAACCTTGGTGACTTTGAACTTGTCTATTGATATTAGAATTTATCAAGTTTTCACGCATCTGAAAGCACAGAACGTGCATTTACATGGAAATTAATAACGTGAGCTTTCGATAAGAAATTATCGTCTGTGATACGCAGACATATGAAAGACTTCTAATGTGCTAATTGATTCATAACTAGACTAAATTGATAACCGAGAGCCCATTCTTTCACTCCAGTTTATCCTCATACAGGATTGACTGGATCCCAAACCAGCCACCACAGTTCTTTCGTTCAGAAGTTAGGTTTAGTTTTTTTATGTTAGGACGTACAGAATAAAAACACAGCTCCAGGGAAAACATATATAATATTCATGCAAAATGCGATACGCAACACATAAGCTTATATTCCCATGTCCTTTAATGTATCCGATGGTTTATTATAAGATCATGTGACAAGTGCTGATACATCTGGTTTACTGGCACCAAGTTTACGCGTATTGTTCAACTTCAAGGCAGGATTGGTGATCCATATGGGATCTCCCTGCTCGTGATATAAATACTGAACGACAGAACTGTTAAATACACAATATGTAATAAATTAGTGCTTACTTTAAGTAGCCGTCTCCCCTAGGAGGTCGTGTAAAGTTGTCACGTACCATCAGTACTACGTTTATGCCGGTATTCACCGTTTAGGGTAGTGAACTTCTTCATGACGAAAAAAACTTGGAATCGTGTGTTTCTTAAGTTCTTGCGTAACATTGCGAACCCATGACACTGGTGGTAAGCTCACCACAATTTCGGAACACTTGAAATGAATACAGAAGGAACTTAGCGATGATTTGATATATATTTGCCGTGGGTTCTCGGCTGCAAACAAAAGCAAACGAAGACGTCATGCCATTAGCTTGCACGCGTGAGCTCGATATCAATTTAAGGCTTGGGAGGATTTGGAGGCGGTGCATCAGACTGGCTGCTGCATTGCTAGCATCATATACTCATCCTGAGACAAATGCAGAACTTCAGCTGCACTTCAATTGTACCCCATGTAGGACAGTGTCATGTAAACAGTGCCGGCAGTGAAATGGTAATATTAAACGTAGTGTCAGTATTAGCTAACGCAGTGGTAGTATTAAAAAGGTTAATACTGTTGTTGATATAGTAGAGGACACAAAACTTGCCGTATAGTTGATGTATCGATTTGGCGTCAGTAGTCACAAAATTGAAGTCGCCCGCAAGGTGGGAGGTAAAGAAACATCATGAAAATTATGATTATTGATACCCAAACAAAGGGCGTAGGCGCCAAGTGGCAAAAAGCGGGCTAGAGCCATGAGCGAGTTACCACCTCATGAAGACGAAGGAAGGACAGGTAAACACCAAATGAAACGAAGTTGAAACTGAACAGAAACTGAAACGTACAGGATGTCGCTTGCAAGAGGCATCGCACGAGAGAGTGAGATGAGAGGCGCAATTCATCAGCAAGCATAACAACTTCTCCCGACATCATATCTGCGAACGAATCTCATCCCAACATCTTATCTGCCCACTCAACTGAACCCCCACATGTGATTTACCTGCACAAAAACTTATTCATACAACTGCCCTACCTACACGACACCTTATCCCACATCTGATCTGCCTAAAAAACAACTTATCCCTACATCTGATCTGCCTACACAACAACTTTTCCCTACAACTGATCTGCCTACACCCCAACTTATCCATACATCTGATCTGCCTACACCCCAACTTATCCATACATCTGATCTGCCTACACAACTTATCCCTAGGTCTGATCTGCCTACACAACAACTTTTCCCTACAACTGATCTGCCTACACCACAACTTATCCATACATCTGATCTGCCTACACAACTTATCCCTACATCTGATCTGCCTAAACCACAACTTATCACTACATCTGATCTGCCTATACCACAACTTATCACTACATCTGATCTGCCTACACCCCAACTTATCCCTACATCTGATCTGCCTACACCCCAACTTATCCCTACATCTGATCTGCCTACACCCCAACTTATCCATACATATGATCTGCCTACACAACTTATCCCTACATCTGATCTGCCTAAAAAACAACTTATCCCTACATCTGATCTGCCTAAAAAACAACTTATCCCTACATCTGATCTGCCTACACCACAACTTATCCCTTCATCTGATCTGCCTACACCCCAACTTACCCCTACATCTGATCTGCCTACACCACAACTTTGTCCCACAACTGAGACCCGAAGAGAGGCAAGAAGCATGCCCCTAGGAACGCGTGACCCTTGCGCCGAACCAAGAGGTCGCTTGAGATAAAACTTTTTACACAAGATACTGGCCAGGAAAGGCGCCTGAATCAATACTTCGTAGCAGCGAACACACTAAGAGTATTTCTTATCACATTATGCCATTTGAAGAACCTTACAGTCGAAGTAGGAAATACGTGGCTCTTATAGAGAGTGAAGATAAATTTTCTTAATGCATAACATAGCAATCTCGATAATACAAAATTTTCTTCAGCAAGAGCATTTTTAGTTGAGCTGACTAGAGAAGGTAAATTGTACTAAAAACCAATATGGTTCTTTTTATGCGCTGCAAATGTCGACTAGAGACCACACAAAATTTCAAACTTGTATTACTATAAAGTAACTAGAATTTAGTTATTGTATGATCTCATGTCAGCAGAAAGACAGAATATTGTCAGCTGATCAGAGATGCAGCTCGGGGCTGTGAGTCCTAACTTACAGTAACTGTTTAAAATACGGTATTAAAACGGTGAATGCTTAAAAAAGGCATTAAAACGGTAACTACTTAAAAATGGACTTATAAACTTTCTAGACTGTTAAGTGTGCACAACTGACAAGTAGGATAAGGTCGACGGAATAATGAGCACCAACAACGCACATGAAGTGCAAGTCGAAGAAACTTCTTGACGACTGGTGACGCATGACACAACAGTGAACTTGCTTCCAGTAATGAATACATATAGTAGGATATTTAGAATAGAAAGTGCTATTTAAAAATGGACACATGTTGAACCATAACCACAGATAAATTTGAATTCCTCATACTTTTAAACCAAATAATCCACGAACATTATTTAAGGCAGCGCACGTGTGTTGAACACGCACGGAATGCGCGTGTTTATCTCACGGAACGCGCATGCATTTAACTCGCATTATTAGCACAAGTATAAAGGTATCTTGGAAACCATCATTACTAAAGGTGACGGCATTACGCCACTAGTACATATAACTTGCATACCAACACAACGACTCCTCTGCAACCAAGTCTGGAAGCGACTCAGAAATCCATGTAAACTTTAGAGAACGGCCAGCAGGCCAGTGAGAGCCGGCAAGCCCCCAGGTACAATTGCAACGACAAACTTGAGCTAAATATTGCACGACAAAGATGAAAAAGTTGCAAAAACTAAAACTAGGCTTAGCTGTGAACTCGAAAGTATTTTTTCTCAAAGCGGCATTGCTCGTCCTTGGTAATCTCAGAGCGCGTGCTCTGACTCCATCGCCGGCAGAGCTTGGGTGCCAATGAGGAGCTTGGTGGAAATATCCGTCCTGCAGATTGGGCAGAGAGAGAGGGGCAGAGAGCACGTGTGGCAGAGACACACGTGCCCACACGGCAACATCAAGACACATGACGCTTGCGCTAGACACACCACGCACTCAGGCTCCACGTAAGCATGCTCTAAGCTGGGAGCGGACGGCAAATCGTCGTCAGGCAGGTATTGAACGGGCGGGGCAGAGGGCGAACGTGCATCGTAGCATGTCTCTCCATCAACAGACTTTGAAGGCAGAGAAGAAGCCCCGAGCTTCAGTTTAGCAAGATACTCCTGCAGCGCCTCCTGTAGGGCTTCATGCAGCTCTCTGGAGATGCCAAATTCCTGGGCACGCTCCTCATCCATGCTGGAGAGGTCTTGCAGGGAGACGCCGTGCCGAGCAAACACCGGTCGAAGGTGCGATGCATTGGCCGCGTGCAGCACCTCTGCCACGTCGGCATCCAGATGCGCCTCAGCCTCAGCCAGATAGTGGGGCTTGATGTCCATCAGCCGCTGGTACTGCACCAGCCAAAAGTCTGAGGCATCCTTGCCACCAACTTCGAGTACGCCCTCCATCCTGGTCACCCAGTCTTGCAACTCTGACTCGCGTTCTTTCTTTTGTGAGACGAGGCGCCTTAGCAGATTCACCAGAGCGTGGCGCTGTTCCAGCATCTCCATTGACCCACCTTCGAACGACAACGTCTGCTTACGAAGCTCCAAGGCAGACACTCGCACCAGCTCCTTCTCCACCTGCTTGATCTGAAAAAGAAATGAAATCTTTGTTTAACGTGCCACGCGGTACCTGAGTGCTCATAGGAAACCAAGGCAACGGTCATGAAGGCTAAGTTATATAGTAGTAGAGTACGCATTGGTTGACAACATGAGTACAGCTTGATGCTGCTTCAGCGGCGTTAGTATAGGAACAGGATCATAGTCAGAAACAAACAAGAACTGGGGGTTAATAACGAATGCACCGCTTTGTCATTCCGGACTGCAGAGCAGTCCAATACGAAATCTACCTTTTAGTTAAATAATGATTTTTCACAGTAAATAGTTAGCTAAGATGATCATCCAAAACTTTACCCCAGCCATTTGCTTCAACTGAATCTATTTGTACATAAGTGGAAAAGCCTCGCTCTCAAAAAGTAACTGAAGAACATCAGCAAATCAACAGGTTTTAAGAATTTCACACAATGAATAAAAAATCTTGAGCAAAGGTTAACAAATAAAATGCATACCAAATAGTCTGAAATGAAATACGTACGTTAGACATTCTTTGAGTGGCTATTCTCTAGAATTTAGGTAAATACCCAAGCCAGGCACACTTAAGGGGAGCGTCTACCCTAAAATTTATCTTGGCTATTTACAGACGGATCACTCTGAAACTTGGTACACTTATGTAAAATAGAAAAAAAGCTTTTTGTTCATGGGAATTTTTCGAAATAAATGAAAGAAAACGAGAAATTCTTAGAAAATGGCCAAAAAGGGGGTACTGTAACGTAGAAATCTATCTCCTCCCAGGATTTTCAAGCTACGACATCGAGACATGTATCAATCGATGCGTAAGGACCATATCTACAAAACTGTGTAGACGTTTTTTTGAAATTCTAATTTTTGTTGGTGGGGGGACATTTTTCGTATTTTTTTTAATTTTCCCCCACTTTTTACTAAATAAAATCCAAACTATAACGAAATTAGAAAAACGCCTACACAACTTTGTAGATCTTTTATTTGCAAATCGAATGATATATGTCTCATTGTTGTAGCTTCAAAACTCTAGGAGTAGATAGGTTTACAGTGACAATAAGTTAACTTTTCAGTAGAGCCCGACAAAGTCGCGCGCGCCTCGAAATAGTCATTCAAGGGTGTAAGGTTGCATGACTAGACGATCCTGGAGCTCAATTTCTGTCAAGGATGGTGCGAAAGACGGCACGAGAACTATCCCGTACGACTGCAGGCGTACGTATAAGTGAAGCACAGCGTGTTCAGACTAGCTAACTAAGTGTACTGCCGGTAATTTCAGCCTATCATGTGAAAGAACTCCACCACCTCTAACCCTTTCGCGATCTGTCGTGAAAGAGATGGTTTTGGTACCGTTAGATGCGTCAGAATGTAAGCTTCAAGATGAGAATAAAAACCGAAAAAGTGAAAATTTTCGATTTTAGGGTAGACGCTCCCCACAGCCGACAACATGTTCTAGTTGACAAATTTTGGCAGGAACTCAAAGCGAACTCCCCTTGCGACACAAAACAAAAAACATGTGAATATCAATCGCAAAGTAAGTAATGAGACACTCCAAAAAGCAAATCTATAATGGTAAATGAAAAAACCCTTACCTGCATGATGATATTGGCCCGCTTGATGTCGTTGTTGAGCAGCAGAAGTTTGAAGGCAGCAGCCTGACACTCCTGGTCGTTAAGAAGAATCTCATTCCAGTTCTTGAGGTTGCTTTGCCGTGCGGAGAAAACGTCACTGAGATGCACGTCGTTGTGCTTGCTTGACTCAAGTAGATCACATACCCAACCATCAGTCTTGCCGCCGTGCAGCCGCAACTCTAACGCGGCCGTTTCTGATAGAAGTTCCTGCATGGCTCTCAACACCTCGCTCTGTCGAACCTCAGCTTTGGCATCTGAAGCAGATGACACAAGCGCCTCCAATTGCTCTTCTTGCGCTGCCAAAGACGCGACGAATGCGGCATTTTTTAGTGCTGCGCCACTGATGATCTCTTCCGTGATGGAGGCCACTTGCTGTTCGCTCGCAGTCAGGTCGGCAATTAGCCGCTGCTGCTCGCTGCTGCGGTCGCCAACTATGCTGGTTAGCTCACGGTGTAACTCTTCCTCCTGCGCTGTGAGTTGTTCGATCTTATCATGCTTACTTGTAGTACGAGCTATATATGCTCCTATTTCTTCGTCCTGTTTCTCCTTCATCTTTTTCTCGAGCTCGACTCGCCACAACTGGTCTTCGAGTTTCCTGGATTTGGCAAGAACCTGGTTTTCAACAGAGCTACTTACATCGCAAGCCAGCTTCTTCTTAAAATCATCTTGTTTCCTAAGAACAAAGTTGAGCTCCTCCTCGTTTCTCTCTTCTTTCTCTTTCTCCTTCATCAAATGTTCAATCATCTCTTGGCGTTTCTTCAGGATATAGTTTGCCATGACTGGCGTGAGGTCTTCGTCAGGTTGAGGAGGCAGGGGCGTCTGAGGCGCCTGAGTTTTCTCAGGTTGTTTTAAAACACCCGTGTATTCCACTCCTGCTTCAGCACAGAGGTGCTGCAGTAAGGCTTCCAGTCCTGCCTCTTTGAGCAACCTGCAATGCGGCTCTTTGAGGCAATCAAGGGACACAGTGAAATGCTCTAAGGAACTCTGAAGTTGGTGAAACTTTTCAGGGATGCGTTTAATGAGGTTTCCTTCCATATACAACTTGCAAAGCTTTGGTAAGGCACAAATAGCCAGAGGCACTTCAGAAAAGTCGTTTTCAGAAAGGTTTAGGTGTTCGAGGCTCTTCAGATTGCTAAATGATGATGGCAATGACTTGAGATGGTTCTTTGCAGCATCTAACTTGACTAAATTAATCAGAATTCCAATGTCTGATGGCAGCTGACTTATATTGTTGCTGTGGAAATCTAAAACTTGAAGTGCGATTAGATCACTCATACATCCACCATCTTTGAGTGAAGTTAAAGCATTGGTATGGAGTAGTAATGAAGTTTTTCTAAGAAGTTTGCAGTAAGTAAAGGTCTGATCAGGTACAATGGTGGCTTGACAACCTGAGATGTCGTAGACAGGTTCAGTGGTTTGCTGTGACTGCATGCACTTCAGAGCCAGCAGGTGCTTGTCTTCTGGTCCTGCCACTTCAGATGAAGGAGTTTCATGCTTCCGTTTGAAAAAGTTCCAAAAAGGCATTATTCTACAATTTAGGTTCCTTGATGAAAAATAAAAGTTTTAAAACATAACTACATACTACGTCTGAAATTGAAATGGAAAAGTTGGTAAAAAGTTAGTTAAATTAATAAAAATTGTTAACACCACACACCAAATTCTTAAGTGAGAGCGGCAAGAAGTCTAAACTTAAACTCAAGATATCACTTCTCACAAGTACTGTAAGGACTTCACCACCATGTGTATCTTCTCTATGATTATAAATTGTGATATAATTGATAGGTGATGGTTCACAGCCATCATAAGAGGCAATATGGTGTTTGAAAATACAAGATAAAATTTGAATTTTGTAAGGTTGCTGCATGTGGGTGCAGAATGAAACAATTACATTGAAGTATTTTTGCTTTTTTATCTACTGACATCTCGATAACATCATAAAGTTGCTGAATTTTCTAATTGGAGCTTCTGTATATATCATACCCATCATTTGCAAGCACATGTAAACAGTTAAGCAAGCAGGGAAAAGTGCATCTGTACTGAACTTTTTATTTGAAGAATGTAAGCCAGGATTGATTAACCTGACAATTTTCATTACACATTTCAAAAATCTTCTATGGCTGCCTCAATGGCTGGCCTAAGGGGACATGCAACATCTAATGATAGGTATGGTTTGAGATAAAAAATTATGAGCCTTTTATGGATGAAGGAGCCATCCTACTGAAGTTAGTCACAGATTTGGAATGAGCTCAAGAGTTTTAGTGGCACAGTTAAATTTATACCAAACAAAAGGTTTGAGACTATTTGGTCCCTAACAAGAGAGAAGCCAGAAATATAATAAGTCATGTTGCCTCAAACATCTTAGAAAAAATATGACATTACATTCATAGATGTCTCAAAATTGTGCATAAAAATACACTTAAATCTATTATTCAAAAATGACAATAGGCTGTTCACATTTTTGCATATATGAAAATTTGTTTCAGAGAAAACAAAATTTTTTTGAGAAAATTTTAGTATCTATTTATAATATACATTACCGTAAAATGGGGTAACTTAGACCACTTTTTGTTTTTTTAACAAAAACCCCCAAAACTCAAAAACTATTTGACATAGAAAAATTTTGTCAATGGGCATTAAAGGCCTAATACTGAGGCTACGTATCACAATAGAAAGATAAAAAAAATTATGCATATCTAATAGGTTAAAAAATGAAAAATGTTACCAATGAAAAAAAGCTATTATTTAAAGCCTGTCATAGAACCCCCTCCAATTTTTTTATTTTGTTGGTAAAAAAACTCCATTTTTTGGTAGCAGTTTTTTCACCGCCACGTGGCGGTTTTTTGGATTTCTCATTTTTGTGGGTGTGGAAGCATATTTTCCAATATTTTTCAAAATGTATTGATTTTACCCCCACCCTCCCCCACTTTTTGCAAAATAAAATCCGAAATATAACAAAATTGGAAAAACAACCAAGTGACGTTTGTAGATTTTTCCTTTCCAAACCTAATGGTTAATGTCTCATTGCTGTAGCTTCAAAGCTGTAGGAGGAGATAGGATTGCCGTGAGAGAGGTTTTCAGCTTTGGCAATTGTTCAGTAGAGGCAAAACGCCATGCGGCACATAAAGGCACATATTGTAGCCTAGATACCAAAAGTAAGCATCAACTCACTTCAAAGACAGTCATCGGTGCATAGAGCCACTAAATGAACACCATTCCGCGTGTTGTCTGTGAGGTTACTGAGCTCTAGCAGAGTGGAGAGAACATTTTATACTTAATTTCCCCCTTTGGAATTACTGAAGGCCCCCACCCCCTTCCCCCCTTAAGGGGTCTGTTGTGAACGCAGAAATCAACGTACAGAGATGGTTCTAGTACCGATCAATGCGACAGAAAGTAAGCTTTAAGATGAGTATAAGAACGGGAGAATGTCATAATTGGCCGCTTTACGTCAGACAATCCCCTTTATGGTGCCCGGCCGGGTAATTTCCGCCATAACTTTACTGAAGGGGCCTGGACACCTCCTCCCCTTACGGGATCTGTCATGAACGCATAAAACAATGTACAGAGATGGTTCTAGCACTGTTCAATGTGTCATAAGTAAGCTTTAACACATTGACTACGTATTGGTACATATGCGACCACAAAATGTATTTCTCCAGGATATAGTGGTACATAATTCAGGTTGCCTAAAATCTGCCAAATCCGAGAACAAAAAAGGCCAGAAAAGGCTCATAATTCAATGTATACTAGTTTATTTGTAGATTCCGCTATAAAAATTCCATTTATTTTCTTTTTGCAGTATTTAAAATTTAATTAGGAAGTACCCCTATCATAACTCACCCTTTTGGGATCTGTAGTAAACGTATAAATCAACGTACAGAGATGGTTTTGGTACCGTTGAATGCTTCAGAAAAGCAGCTTTAAGATGAGTATAAGAACTGGAGAATGTCATAATTGGCCGCTTTACGTCAGACGATCCCCTTATGGTGCCCGGCCGGGTAATTTCCGCCATAACTTTACTGAAGGGGCCTGGACACCTCATCCCCTTACGGGATCTGTCGTGAACGCATAAAACAATGTACAGAGATGGTTCTAGTACTGTTCAATGTGTCATAAGTAAGCTTTAACACATTGACTATGTATTGGTACATATGCGACCACAAAATGTATTTCTCCAGGATATAGTGGTACATAATTCAGGTTGCCTAAAATCTGCCAAATCCGAAAACAAAAAAGGCCAGAAAAGGCTCATAATTCAATGTATACTAGTTTATTTGTAGATTCCGCTATAAAAATTCCATTTACTTTCTTTTTGCAGTATTTAAAATTTAATTAGGAAGTACCCCTATCATAAATTTTAGCCGGCCAACGCAATTGAGACAAACTAAATCACGGAATTTGTCCAGAAAAAATGACTGTCTGGCAACCCTGCTTAAAAAAAGTACAAAAAATGAGATAATAGTGCAAGATGGAGCAATCATAGTCAACATGTTTAGATGAGCCTAAAACCAGAAAAGCCAAAATTTCGACCTTTGGACCCAGACCCCTTTAAATTAAATTGAATCAAGTTACCTGAAATAAATAAGTATCTATTGATGCTTCCACCTTTTGAAAAAAAATGCGGAAAGAGCATCAATTCTATTGTCCGAGTCAAAACCTTCATTTAAATGCTCATATTTTAATTTGAGGACTTTGCAGGTGGTGATGCTATAGATAGAATGATGGTCAGATAATTAGTGATTGACTGAGGCATTATAAGAACGCCTCACAAACAAACAGAAATTGTCCATTCCATAAAGACTCAGAAAATCCATGTAACCTCTCAAAATTACCATATCCTTCAAGTGAGATCAAAACAGCATTGTAGTCATCATCCAAGGTGCAAAAAAGTGAGCGAATATTCAGCAATCATGCATCAATAGCAAAATTTACTTCTTCAGAAGATCTTGCTAACATATTTAGTATTTACATTTTGAATTTTATCCGCATGACAACGGACATGGCCAATGCTTGATGATTGGTGCAGATGTGTTCAGATTACAACTAAAAAAGACAATGAGCAATAATTGGCATAGGCATTTTCCCATTGCAAACAAATATGGCCAATGCCGCCAATGCGCAACAATCCTCACAGATGTACTGTATGCATATCAATCAATATAGCAGTTACGTTATGATGGGCATGGACACAAGTACACAGCTAGCAATGCACAGCTTGCAATGTTTTGGTCCTAGAAACTATATCTTATCAAGGCACTTGCCATGCTCTGCACTCGGCACTCAGGTCACCATATGGTTATCAAACCCTACAAATCATGGTTCTGACCAGCATTATCTGGTTTTTAGTGACAAGCAGCAAGGCAGGCATAGAACATACCTACCTCTTTCAAGCTGCAACCAGAGCTTTTTACCCATTTTTGGAGCCTTGAGATTCCCACTAGATGAGTTACCTTGTATCCAATCTTAAACAAAAAAACATGCCCCAAGATTCCAAATACATAAAAAATTAGTCTCATTGGAGCCACAAGATTTCATTCATAAGAGGGAAAATTTGAATCATGTAATGCAACAAGGTATGTACAGTTTCAGGAGCAATTCAGAACAGAAGAGTGTCAACTTATGTGCTATTGACAGGTGATCATTTAATTATATTTTGAAGCTGCAAGATTGTTCTTAGACAAATTGTCTACCTGAAACCAGGCATGGAATATATCTACTTGGCAAGCTGTGACTGAATTTTTGAGCCGTGGTTTTATGGATTTGCTAGCCTTGATTCCATTACTTCGAGCCGTGATTTCATTTCTTTGAGGCATGAATTCCATATCTTGGCCATGAAAAGCCATTAATAAGCTGCAAACGTATACAAAGTCCCAGCACATGTTACCCCAAATCTCTAATTTAACCCTATAACAGTCAAACAGCAAAACTAACATTTGGCTTCACTCAAGTGGCAAACAAACACATGATAATGCAGTCTGACCGCTCTGACGTGACAGCAGCTATGTGATCTTCAAAGAAATGTTTTGGGTTGACTTGTTGTTATTACATTTTGCAGGAATGTTATAGTAATGCGGATTGTGCCATCATAGCGCCACTAGCGGAAGTTGAAAATTTTATGAAACGACATATTTGCAACGTTGCAAGCAGCAATTTTTCCATCTAACAAAAATACATGACCGAGATTTCATACCTACTGAAATTCTATACTACAGCTGGGATATTTCAGAAAAAAGTAGGACTTTTTCAGCCCTGCCAGAACCTGATTGTTAATAATACTGTTATTACTGCTGTACCTAACTGTAAAATTAGAAAGAAGCCACCAATAAATTAGATAAAAACACCAGTAAATTTGTTTATTTTTACTCATTCCTATGGTCTTTGCCCAATTTTTCTAGTAAAACCTATAAAAAAACTAACAATTTTCATCCACAATTTTCAAAAATCACCTTTGAAATGATCATGTTTGTCTGCAATTTTAGGAAAATTCTGCCTATTATTCCATATAAAATTTTGTACAATCAAACAATATTAACTTAACTGTAGAATTATTCAATTTATGACTAGCGACCATTCTGAAAGAAGGAAGATCAGCCG